TATATATATATCACGATAAATATTAAAGTAAACTACGACTCGCATAGACTCTCGCTTAATGCATTATCGATTAATTTTACACGTTATTCATAGGTTATTCATAGATTCTCTCTTTTCCACTTTCGGAAGCTCAGGTGTCGAAGAATATCCTACGATTTTCGCGTAACTCGAAATTACTGGCGGCCGTCAACGGCAGCATCGGCGAATGACAAGAGCGAAGAGACAAGAGTGTTACGCGAGGAACCAAGAGATGGCTGGGAGCTGTGGCGTCGCGACGTTTAAGCCCGGCGCACCGGCGCGGCGTCCGGCGTCGACGGCAGTAGTTGCGTCGGCGTCGCCGTCGTCGTCGCGCGACGTCGCCCTCGTCATTGCCGGCTCGAGCCACGGGGCTCGAAGGCCATTGGTTGGCCCGTAGGTAGGAGGGTGTCCGGTGGCTGTCAGCGACGGCAGCGGGGGCAAGGGTTGCAGTCGTGCCGGGCACGCGGGCGGGGGTAGGAGGGGTGCAACGAACCCTCTCGCCTCGGCTCGAGTCTACGGAGCACGGAGTTGTGTTCGAATCATGGCGACACCCGACCCCGTAGACCCAGCCACCCTAGAGATTAAGACCCGTAGCATAGAACAGACACTACTCCCACTAGTGAAACAGGTAAGATGTGTTTCCGCGTGATAATGCGGCAACCAGAGTTTTCGTTCGCACCGGCGGCGCGCCGTCTCTTTCCCATCTGTCTCTTTCTGCCTGCATCCTTCTCTTTCTCTCGCCCTCTCGCCCTCTGCCTCTCTGTCTTTATCTCTCTCTCTCTCTCTCTCTCTCTCTCTCTGCTTCTCTTCCTCTCCTCCTCCTCGCTCCCCGATCGCCGTAGACTATCCTTCTTTCTCTTTCGTCGCAAACTCCATCCGCCTCGCGCTCATTCTCGGTCTTTATTCCTCTCGTATGACGCTTCGCGTATACCCGGCACCCCCGCGTGCCGTTGCATCTCGTTACATCTCGTTACGTCTCGTATTCGATCCCTAACAGATTGAGATAATTTCTCAATCCTCCGGAGTCACTTCCAAGTCATTCTATCTCGCTACTCCGATCACGCTCGCGAAAGCATGTATGATTGTATATACGCGATCCGATATGCGCACGTCGTAGAATCGAGCGAACGGACACCACGAGATGTTGAGTGCGTGGACGGTGCATCTCTCTCTCTCTCGCGGCGCCCCGACGCGACGCGACGCGACGCGACGTCGGAACGACGCACAGCGCCGCATGACGAAAAACGCAGGAGCGAGACGTCGAAATGGGTACGCGTGCGAGAGGGTATCGTGGACGCGAGAAGGATCGAGCAGTGAATCGGGTTGAAAAAGTGAGCTCGGGAAAAGAATTTGTAAAACGGGGTGCGCCATGTAAGATACGTCTCGCGCTCTCCGCCGATACGGTCGCTCTGAAACTAGAAATAGCGCGATTCCCACGCTTTTGGGAATTTCCGCGTGTTCGACATTTTAGCAAAAATTTCGCCGAATTATTTTTATCTTCGAATAAAGATTCAATCTCTGAAATCGGTAATAATTCCAAAAACGATGACGGTTCCAACGAACACGTATAGCTGTAGTGAGCGCATTCGAGACCGTAATTCGTAAGAACGTTATTTCATGGAAATTTGACAACTCTAATGTCAGAGGGACAGAGAGACATGTGTCGAATACGTGCAGCTTGTCACGAGGCGCACACAGAGCGATACAGAGCATACAGAGTAACGGATATTTCGGTGGTCCACTATCTTTGTCATTTTCTTCTCCTCTCTTTCGCTCCCTCTCCCGCTACGTCCGTCCGTCTCGCACTTTCTGCACTTGCCTTTTTCTTCCGCGTTGCTCACTTCTGAGCTGTTGCGGCGCACGCTCGCTCACCTTACCTTGGCTTGTCGACGCCGATACCGGCGTCTTCGTGGAATTACGTTTGAATTTACGCTGCACCCTCGTTGCATAATCACCGGCACGTGCGCGATCCACGCACGCGAGCCATGTACACACAGATCTGCGGTTCACGGGTCAAAGGCCTTTAAATGACCGCCCGCGAAGAATAAATCGCCCTGCTCCGCTTTCTACGACGTCGACGATTGAGGAAATTTTTTACGCGAAAAGCGTATGCAACGTGCAAAGTGTAAAAATGAGAGATTATCTGCTTTGTGTGTCCTCTCGAGGAGGAGGGAAATTCAGTTAATTAAAAGCTAAAGTGAATTTACATACGAATATTCTGTTTCGAAATATTTCAGATTAATTATTTGTAACGCAAGAGAGAGATATAAATCGATATTTTTTTCTTTTCGTCTCGTACTACCTTCCCAGTACACGGTCGAAATTATGATTTCGTTTAAAGATCGTTTGAGACTTTCTCAATAAAACGACTACAATTGCACCGCATGCAGTAGATTTTGCACTTGCGTTCATAATTTATGCACACATGTATATGTATGTATGTTACACATGGCTCGCTAATGTAAGTCAAATATCGAAATCACGAACACGTTCAATCAAACAACGTGTATTTCGCTTCATGCACGCTACATCGTAAACTATTTCATCATCTCGTGTATCCAATAAAACTCGTTACAGCGAATTATTATTAAAATGATAATATTGTATATGCAAATTATCATTAACGCAATATACATACATTTGGCATGTTTAACTGAAATTAACTGCATCGCCGAATGTCAAATTTCGCAATGATCATAATGTATTCTATATAGAGGGAGAGAGAGAGAGAGAGAGACGGAAAAAAACGTTATCAATTGAAAAAAAGATGTGTTTTATCTCTTTTTAAGAAGATTTTACAATTGTGCTTCAAAGGAAAACTCGAAGTATCTTCAATCACTGTCTTCAATCTACTTCAATAACGAACCTATCTATACAACAGTGAGTTCTCCCTTCGAAGCGCTTGAAAAACCGCAACCCGCAGTCCACGATTAATCTCGTCAAATGAAACAGAGAGCAATTTAATTGACGCTTTCGTTAAAACTAGCCGTACCTAAAAAAGAGATTACGCCGACCAATTCCTGCTGTCGAGTGCGCAAGAAACTCTCGCGTGCAAGAAATAATCCGATTCAGCTCGCGATCCCTCAAAGAAGAACCGTTATTTCCGTTAGAATGAGATGAAATCAACAAAACAACAGGCAGATAGATATTCGAATATATTCTTTTCCTTTTTCCGTTGTAATTAATTTAACGATTAATCACTAAGGACATCGCTGTTCAGATAAAGGGCTGAGAAGAAACGGCGGATGATAGATGACGAAAGAGTCGATAGTTTCCGCAAACACATCGATCGAATCGGTAATTATCGCGCTGACGCGCGGTAATTATCATCTATAAAATGAGAATGCGCGGCAGCGAGAGACTAGAAGAAAAAGAAGAACAGAAAGGAAATAGACGGAGGTTATTTCGAGAATGAAAGAGGGGTGGCTCCGATCACCGCTCGTGGTCGACCTTCGTCGTCGTGTTTATCGATATTTCTGGCGATGTAGCGGAGCACGCGTACGTGCACACAGTGCCGAGAGCGTGTGCGTTCGTACGTGTGCGTGTGTATGTGTTGGTTAAACTCCTCGGGTTAGAAGGGCGTGCAGTACGAGTGGATTGGCTGGTGCATGGCACAGAGGGCGATCGTTACGAGCTGCAGCCACTTGTTAGAGCTCCGTCTAGCTGCCCCCGCGCATACTTATCTCCGTCGTCATTTCTTCTCTTGCGTATCCGCCTCTTCTTATCACCTTTCTTCCACTTTTTCCCCGGCTTACCGCTATTTCGCTTTTAGCCTCCGTAGGGCTTCAAAGCAGCTTTCCTCAGGCGATTTCCGCGTCACGATTTCGTTCCGTCAAATTTCCTATCGACTGTCGCTAATATCTCGAACACCTGCGTATCCTCACATATTTCGATCGCGGCCCTCTGCATATGGAATATGCATTGGTTAATTGTAAATTGTTTTCGGATTTCGCAAGAAATAATTGTACTTTGATAATTGTGCTCTCAATCTCTCTTCTGGAAAATGTTTGAAACTCAAGAGTTTAGTTTAACTTTTCAGTAAAAATCGCCTCTTGATATTATTTTATCGAAATAAAATTTCTTACAATCCGGGTTATATTCTTTAAATTTATGCCAACTTATATATATATATATATATATGTATAAATATGTAAAAGTTTAAAAAACTCTATTAAAAGATGTTGAAACAGTTTCGTTTATATTCGTTAAAAGAATTTTTTAATAATCACTCAATTATCTTAACTGATACATATAATATTAACAATTTTATGAAGTTCTTCTATAATAAAATGCTAATTAATACAAATAAAAGCGATTGTTACGTCACACTAACAAGAATGATGTAAATATATGCAAGAATTATGAGCATGCACACATATGCATATCGCAAAATGGAGCAAAAATAATTTGGCCACTCTTACCACCACGTTGCAGCAATAACACATGTTTCACGCGAAAAAAGACTCATTAGCTGTTGCCCAAAGACAACTAAATCATATTTCAAACATCACGTGTAATAAGAGAGCGCTGAAAATATTTATCTTGTATGCTAGCCAGAATTACTAATTTCCATTCGTTTTATTTATATTCATTCGCGTTTGTATTACTTACGAAATTGCCATCACTCTAACTTAGTTGCGCTACGAATGTCTTAACCACGTTAGATAGATATACAACCATTACCAATCGAAATGTTAACAGTGAATGAAGAACAAACCATCGTCCACGAAGACTTCCTCGAGAATGTCATTCTTGGACATTTTAATTAACTTCGACCTTCGATTTAATCTCGAACTGACCCTTACCAGCACGTTACTGGCTGCTAAAAAGGACGCAAAAAGGGAACAATTACACAAATGCTATTTAACTCCTTCATTTTAGGGATTTCGTGCAAGTTATCGAATTTTTCAAATTTCTTTTCTAAGCTTGAATGGTTGGAAGGAAGACAATAAGTAATTATTTAAAGTACTGTTTGAACTAACATTTTGCGATATTACGTGAGGTAGAAGTTGTCGATCTCTCATAAAACGTTTTAGACCATGATATCATTTTCTCTCTAATTGTACTCTGTATTATTGCGCGCGTGACCACAACCATTTAATAGCGTCTTTCACTGACAGAGCTGGTGTGCACTCAGTGCATATTAAAACCGTTGTACACAAATCGACGTAAAGATGTATGTTTAATGAAAATATACAAACGAATTATCGCGAAATCTCCAATACATTTTATTATGGTATTTGATAAAATATACATTTTGATAAAATATACATTGTTATGTGTATGTACAAGTTGGTATACAACAGCTTTAATATGCACTGAGTGCGCATCAGTTCTGCCAGAACTGAAGCGAAAAACGCTGTAAGTACAATATAAGTCGACAAAAATATTATAGCAAATTATTAAGGCGCGATTGCACCAACGTTACTTTGATTTTAAGTACTTTCTGTCTCTGTCTCTTTTTGGCTTTAAAACGAGACAGATAGGGTTTTAAGTTTCAAAGTGGGCCTAAATCTTGTAGGTTAAAAGAACTTTATATCAACCCTCAACCCGTGTATACGGAGATCATTTGTGTCCAGGCGATTTTTATAGTTCTCAATGTTTTGAAAGCAAGTGAGTACAGGCGCGCCGTTCTGCTAAAAAAAACTTGTGGGATAGAGGAAGATATCCCTGAAAGCCGAGCAGTGGACATCATTTTCTCGCTGAGCAGCGGATATTCAAAATCGAGCGAGGACACGAATGACCCTCGTCATATATTCAACGCATATTTATACAAAAAAGAAAATTTTTTTTTTCGCGTTTCTTGGCTATTTTTATAAGTAAAACACACACACACACACACACACAATATATAAAACGAAAAAATTTTTATTCAGTGTTATCTTAGAATAAAATTGTCAAACCACTCTGTAGAAAAGACGACACTGTAAGTGAACGATTTCTTCGTTCTCTTACAACGTCATCTCGTATTTTTTTATTAACGAAAGTGTATGAGATTACAGATTTCGAATAAAGAATGGTTTTTTTTAAGTTATTAAATGTCAATTTTTCATAGGAACGCTTATTTTTATAAATTTCGAAATTGTAAAACTTTATGTCCCGAATTTAAGCATTTAAATTAAAAAAATTTTTTGCCATATACTTTTTTTCTTAAAATATGAACTTTGAACTTTATTTTTTCCTATTTTAATTATTAAATTTCAATGATCAACCATACTCACATTTGTGTTTACATGTTTGCAAAAATAAAATATTAAAAAAAAAACCAATAAATTTGTTAAACTATGTATAAAATCCTTCATTTAGAATAGTTAAGGAAGCTACATGAATATTTTAATATTTTTTGAACCACTTAACCCATTAAAAAAAAATACGCCGGACATAAATGACGCCCGTGTACACTTAATGGGTCAAAAAACGTATACACGGTGAGGATTAAATTGTATTCTATCCTATTTGAAAAATATTTTAAAGAAGACAATTTGACAAAATGTCTAATTGTAATGCGATAGCGGGAGAGTGCTTATGCTCCATTGTTAACGCTATAAATAACTCCTTTAGTCAAAATAATAAAGTAGATAAGTGAACAATACGTACTCTGGCAATAAAAACAGTCACAGTTATGCTGGCACTCAATGAATTTTTCTTCATAACTCGAATGTAATTCTCGCACATGGCGTATTTTCACTTTTACTTATTTTTTTTCTTTTTAATACAACGAGTAAATGAATTTTTATCCGAGTTCGCGATTACTACTTACGTTCTCAAGCGATATTCGTCAAAGCGCAATAAGCACGTTATATACGACAATGACATTTCTTATTTGAAGATAGATCAAACACACCAAAAGCTTTCTACTATAATATTGGCTGTCGACCTATTTAATCAACAGTACCTTCGAGTTATAAGGAAATCGTCAATCCTTATGATACAAAACGTCATTTCATCGGTATGCATCATTTAAGTCTTTCTTATTATTAGAAAAACTTTTTCTTATTATTAGTAAAGTCTTTCTTATTATTAGTAAAAACAACCGAGCGTAAAAAACTAACCGATATTAACCACTATCTATCAATCGCTGTCAGTCGTCCGATAATTCCATTGAAAATTATTCAACTCTGAAAGGCTTGCGTAAAAAATCCGATCGTCTAGCTATTAGCATTAATATCACTGATATTTGGACTCTAATGATATTTTCAATGCAAGCAATGTACGTATGGATTATAAATTGGCAAAAGATTAAATCTGAATTTTCGGAATTTTCAATTATCGTTTTAAATATTAATGATTATATTATATTTTGTAATTCTACTACATACGTATACGCATTGAAAATCTTATTAAAAACTTCTCATTGAAAAATTACCTTTCGCTTGAATGTATAATAAAACGTAGGAAGAGTATATAGAATGTATAAAACACCTTTAAGATACGTAACTAGCGAGAATTCACAATAGCTAATGACAGAAAATGACGTGGAAGACAGCCATTTTGTCGGAAAATTTCAACTATGGTTTTCTCTTGGTCTCCAAGCGCAAAGAGACCGCTCAATAAAGGCATCATGCAATCTCTCTGCCTTCGCATTGTACAGAGTTCATTTTATTATAGTCGTGTGAAAGAAAGAATAAAAGCGTGGACACGAATCCATAATATGAGACCGTAAATGATTGGAAGGACAAATATGTAATTAGCGTTAAAGGATTTGGACAAAACCGAA